TATCCCTACAGACAAAAATCAGAGGATACAACTGACGATTTACTATAAAACCAGAAAAACGGCCAGCCTACTCATGAGAAACTCTCCAGACACAAAACAGAACGCTTTAAAAGACACTAATGTCGTCTATGCCTTCAAATGCCCACTTGCGGACTGTAAGCTCCAAAAAACCCAGTATATAGGCAAGACAACAACATCTCTTTCTAGGCGTTTAACGATGCATAAGCAACAGGGCTCCATTAAGGAACATATAATCTCTTCCCATAACCAAACCATCGCCAGAGAAATCCTAGTAAACAACACAGAAATCATCGATAGATACAGCGATAGCAGGCGGCTTGACGTTTGCGAGGCACTACACATCAAGAAGTCAACACCAGCAATCAACAGCCAATTATTGCACAACTATATTCTACCCACCTCAAGACTCCGCTCCAATATAGAAGCATCAAGAAATATGGACCAATAGGCTTTCTACAAACACTTCTATTCAATACCCATTGTTTCTGTTCTGTCTTGTGTTGATACTTTTAATACCCTATTAATATCCTCTCCTGTTCTGTCTTGTGTTAATGCCACATCACCCTTCCCACCTCACTCAAATGTAGATATAATATCAGAGAGACGTAAGTTCTAATCAGTTGTGTATTTGTGAAGTCTTTGAAAATGTAATAAGTTTTACGAAACGCGCCCGTGTCGCGTCAGACTAGAAATAAAAATGAATTTTGGAGAAGTGATTTTTGGTTTACCTCCAACAGTGAAGCGTAATGTACGAAAGATTGAGAAAATTTGTGTTAGAATTATTAATCCTACTTTTTCGGTCATATTTAATAATATATATATATATATATATATATGTCGTACCTAATAGCCAGAACGCACTTCTCAGCCTACTATTCAAGGCCCGATTTGCCTAATAAGCCAAGTTTTCATGAATTAATGTTTTTTCGTCTACCTAACCTACCTAACCTAACCTAACCTAGCTTTTTTTGGCTACCTAACCTAACCTTACCTATAAATATAGGTTAGGTTAGGTTAGGTAGGGTTGGTTAGGTTCGGTCATATATCTACGTTAATTTTAACTCCAATAAAAAAAAATTGACCTCATACATAGAGAAAAGGGTTGCTTTATCATTTCATAAGAAAAAAATTATAGTAAATATATTAATTCAGGAAAACTTGGCTTATTAGGCAAATCGGGCCTTGAATAGTAGGCTGAGAAGTGAGTTCTGGCTACTAGGTACGATATATATATATATATATATATATATATATATATATATATATATATATATATATATATATATATATATGTCGTACCTAGTAGCCAGAACGCACTTCTCAGCCTACTATGCAAGGCCCGATTTGCCTAATAAGCCAAGTTTTCATGAATTAATTGTTTTTCGACTACCTAACCTACCTAACCTAACCTAACCTAACATTTTCGGCTACCTAACCTATAAAGATAGGTTAGGTTAGGTTAGGTAGGGATGGTTAGGTTCGGTCATATATCTACGTTAATTTTATCTCCAATAAAAAAAAATTGACCTCATACATAATGAAATAGGTAGCTTTATCATTTCATAAGAAAAAAAAAATTGAGAAAATATATTAATACATGAAAACTTGGCTTATTAGGCAAATCGGGCCTTGCATAGTAGGCTGAGAAGTGCGTTCTGGCTACTAGGTACGACATATATATATATATATATATATATATATATATATATATATATATATATATGTCGTACCTAGTAGCCAGAACGCACTTATCAGCCTACTATGCAAGGCCCGATTTGCCTAATAAGCCAAGTTTTCCTGAATTTATATATTTTCTCTAATTTTTTTCTTATGAAATGATAAAGCTACCCATTTCATTATGTATGTGGTAATTTTTTTTTTATTGGAGTTAAAATTAACGTAGATATATGACCGAACCTAACCAACCCTACCTAACCTAACCTAACCTATCTTTATAGGTTAGGTTAGGTTAGGTAGCCGAAAAAGTTAGGTTAGGTTAAGTTAGGTAGGTTAGGTAGTCGAAAAGGAATTAATTCATGAAAACTTGGCTTATTAGGCAAATCGGGCCTTGCATAGTAGGCTGAGAAGTGCGTTCTGGCTACTAGGTACGACATATATATATATATATATATATATATATATATATATATATATATATATATATATATATATATATATATATATATATATATATATATATATATATATATATATATATATATATATATATATATATATAGACATATGTCGTACCTAGTAGCCAGAACGCACTTCTCAGCCTACTATGCAAGGCCCAATTTGCCTAATAAGCCAAGTTTTCATGAATTAATTGTTTTTCGGCTACTTAACCTACCTAACCTAACCTAACCTAACTTTTTCGGCTACCTAACCTAACCTAACCTATAAAGATAGGTTAGGTTAGGTTAGGTAGGGTTGGTTAGGTTCGGTTATATATCTACGTTAATTTTAACTCCAATAAAAAAAAAATTGACCTCATAAATAATGAAATGAGTAGCTCTATCATTTCATAAGAAAAAAATTAGAGAAAATATATTAATTCAGTAAAACTTGGCTTATTAGGCAAATCGCTTTTGGCATTTAGGCACATTCCTATGTTCGTTTCCTTAGTTTAGACTGCAGTGTGGAAACTAGGAAAAAATACTCCAAAATTACCTTCTCTTTTAAGGGTCTGAGCAGGTGGTGGAGCGGGTTAAGGCGTACCTGTTATGCCAGTTGCTGGAAGGCTTCTGTGCTGGCTAGGGTTCGAGTCTCCTGGTGGGAAAGTGTTCTAAAGTTGTATACTTCACTCTCGTGTTTAGGAGAGTATATATTGTGACGGTAACGCGTTGGTGTTCGGCTGTTTAAGGCTAGGGGTATGGCCTCGTCACATAGTTATAAAAAAAAAAATAGAAAAACTGGAACTTCGTCTGTGGTAAGGTAAGGAGAAGACACACAAAACACAAGTAAAACTTTAACAATGAAATTTTAATTACGTTAAATAAATCAAAACATGAAAATATGGACAAACAAATATGTATAATAAAATCAATGAATCAAAATAATAAGAATACTTAAATGACAAAATGAAAAGTTACGTTAAGGCAAAATAACAAGAAGTGCAACACAAAGGTAAGTGGGAGGTGCTGGAATATTGGCTTAAAGCCACCACCTCTCTCAGTACACTCTAGAGTCTAGCTGGGAGGAGTGCTGGCTACGAAAGCACGGAACATTCTGAGGACTGATGTTGGGGCGACCCCAGACATCAGGTAGTATTGGGGGCGAGTGCAGGTGCAGCCAGACCGGCGACCAATCAGCGGAGCCGTAGCGATCAACGGGTAGTTTGGTGGTTGGAGTTCGAACAGGTGGCTGGTTGCATACGTTTCTGCTCACCCTGGCAAGCCTTGCTGTCGTTGTTGGACATTTCTTCCATAGTCTTTTATATAATTGTGAAGACGTAATTTTGGAGGGAAGAGCAGGCTCAATCTCTTGATTGAGATTATCGTCACAATATATATATATATATATATATATATATATATATATATATATATAATAAATATAGATATATAGATATATGTATATATATATATATATATATATATATATATATATATATATATATATATATATATATATATATATATATATATATATATATATATATATAAGATGTAGAAGTTACAACAAAATCTGCATAAAAACAAAGGAGAGAGAAAAAAAATAACGAAAAGAAAAAACATATATAAAAAGTGGTTCTCAACTTTTCGTACTATTGCCATTGGGCAATGTATTTATATGCTATATTATATAATATAGCATAAGAACATACTAACTCATTATTTTGAGTGAAATCTGGCCTTCCAGGTAGCACCAGCGGCATATCCACTTTGTTGACCCTCGTTACTACTACATTTCTTCTCTGTGCGTCGGACAGATACTTGAATCTCTTTATCCCAGAGATCTAGTAAATAGGATGTGTTATTGTTATTATCAGTACCGGTTGCCACCTGTCAAGCACACATTTATTATTTAAAAATTCGTAAAAAATCGAATTCCTAACATATTAGAATGAAAATTTCACAACGCTGATGCAAAATAATCGGGATATTTGTTTAATTTTTTTCACTATATTTCATGTTTGGAAAGATACTAGTCAGTCACCGGCCTCTTAAAGAACTTTTTGCAAGTGATTTAAAAATTTAAGTGATATTAAATGACGAAAGGCATAGACTAAAATATGGAAATTTTATCTATGGCAATAATACAGATATAGTGTTTAATATTCATAATAACAACATAACACAGATTGACAAATAGGGTGAGGATATGTGTGTGAAGATTTGGTTACATAGTGTTAATTAGGTATTTCTCATTTTCTTTTTTAAACTGGTTGAGAAAAGTACAGTTTTTAAACTTATTTTGGAGGTAATTATTTGGTTGAAAATAAGTTGGTTGAAAATAAGGTGGATTATATATGCTGCAAATTATTGGGTTAGACATGAGATTGTTGGGTTGCTTCATGTTTAGGTTAGACATTTATAAACGAGTTTCCCCTTACTTCTAAATGTCAATCCATGTCTAACTATTTTTTTAAACAATGCTGTTTGTTGACCAACTTGTATATTGTCTATTTTCTACCATGTTCCCCCCCTTTTTTTAATCTTTTATTTTTTTCTTTCAATGCAATTTATACTTTAAGCTCAATTACTATTAAGTTTTAGTATAAGTGTTTTTTTCCCCCACCTCACTTTGCCCGAAACGCAATGCGTACTAGTGGCTTTAGGTATTGTATGAACTACCACTATCTATAAATCAAACAGAATGTTTGTACTGTAACTCTGCATCTATGTATGTACTTTTCCTAAATAAATTATTAATATTATTATTATTAAAGATTCAAAATGTGTTCCAAATCTGGTACATTAGCTCATTGTGGTTCCGAGTGCCTCTATTTGCTTAAATAAATTTTTCATTTGCAGGTGAGATTGTGAGTGTTGAAGAAGGGTACTGCAGTGCACTTTATACTGAAAAGTTACAAATGTACTGTACTGTGTGTATGAGACGATGCAATGCACCTTTACCTTGCCCCAACTGCAAAGTGGTAAGAATTAAGATATTAATAATAATAATAATTAATTTATGCAAGTGTACATTTATTTATGCAAGTGATACATGAACAGTGGAAAAACATAGGTATGAAAAGTACAATATTATATAAAACCACTATTAATACAGAGCATTTTGGACATTATGTGAAAATAATTAGGAGAATAATATACAAGGTTAATGGGGTTATTATCAATACTAGATAAAATAACTTTTTTAATTAATTGTTAAATATTAAAAATTAACCAAAATATTTTTATGATAACTGGAAATTATAATTAATTTTATAATTGCAGAGCAGATTAAAGAGATGATATAGAATTTCTAATTATATATAAAAATGGCAGTTTAGTAATTGTGCAAATTTAGTAAATAGTGTTTAAAATAACAGCAAAACACAGATGGAATTGTAGGATGAGAGGAGGTGAGTAAAGTTTGTTGCATAAAATTAATTAGGTAGTTCTTAGTTTCTCTTTTTAAACTGGTTGAGAGATGTAGAGTTTTATTATTATTAGAGAGGACATTCCACAGTTTCGGCATCTTAATTTTCAAAGCATTTCTACTTTGGTTAAGTAACACTCTTTGAATATTACAAATATATTTGTTTCTAGTGTGGTGCCCTGGGCATTATCAAGTCGTTTGGTCCTCATGACAATAGTTTGGTCCTAGACAATAGTCTAGGAGGGACTAAAACATACTCGTTTCTTCCTTTTCTGATGTGTGGTTTAGTTATGAAGACCCTTTACATCCTAAGGAACCTTATTTTTAATTACTGACATCTGATTCCATATAATTAGATTCCTCTATATAGTTGTTATCCTCCTACCTATTGGATCTTTGTTGAACCTTGGATCTTCAAAATTCCCAGTAAACCTCTGCATAAGATGGTTTGCATGTCTTTTCCAAATAACATTACCAAAACTTTGAACTTGCCCTTAGATATTCCTATGGCCCAAGACTTCAACAAATTTCCCTTCCACCTAAATCATACCAGTTCCTCTATGTCTTGCTTCACTTCATATGACTCTCTAAATATAACTTTATTTTCCTGACTAAAGTGATTGACAAGGTTAGTTACAGATTTTTCTTTGCCCGAATCTATTTTTGCTGCTTCGTTATCCTTTTTGAAATGCCTTTTAATCAGTAATTCAGAAGTTAATTTACCAGTGGTAGCATGAATAGTTTTTCTTTAATAATAAAAAATGTACAAATCCTTTTGTTAATAATATAACTTTTCATAAACTTCAGTGACCCTTCCTTAAGGATCTCACTGGTCTATCAGCCGGACCCTTTGAAGAAGGATTATATAGGGCTGGTTTTACCATTCTTCCTGCAAATTCCTCTTAATTCCCAAGACACAAAATAAGAAGCATTATCGGTCACCACCACCATGTCTGGGAATCCAAAATTACAAAATGTTTTGCTGGGCATTTGCTTTCGTGGGAGCACTTGTTACAGATGATGTCGTGGAATTACACACATGAAAATGAATAATTTTTGTGTATGAATCTACAATTACAAGCTAATATTTATTACCCATAGGTCCACATAATCTATATGAAGTCTAGACCAGGGTTTCTCAGTGAATGACCAGGACAGTACAGGAACTTGGGGTTTCTGGAAATTCTTAAAAACAAATATAGTATATAAATTCTTAGTTACTTCAACAACAATTCTGATCCAATTTTGGCCACCAAACTCACCTTCTAGCTTCTGCTTTCATAGCATTTATGCCATTACGGCCTACATGCAGCTGTTCCAAAATCTTACATTTTAGTTCAACAGGATCCACCACTCTATCCCTATTCTTATAAGTTTACAGCCAGGTAAATAATCAAGTCGGCCTTTACTGCAGCATAATCAGATAATAGTAAATTGTCATTCCAACCATATTTGATGTAATTCATTAACTTAGTTAACGTGGCATCTTTACTGGTTGCCTTCCTAATTGTCTGAAATTAATTATCCTCTTCTTCAGCTCTTCTTCTTCCTCTTCTTCAGCCCAATTCAGCTCTTCTGTAACAGGCAATCTACTTAATGCATGTGCCACTAAAATATCCTTTCCGGGTTAAAAACCCAAATCATACTCAAACAGTGACAGTAGCAATGCCCAACGTTGAATTCTAGCACTGATTTTAACTGGAATTTGTTTGCCTCTACTAAACAATGCTATCAGGGATTCATTTTTCCGTTCTAGCAAGAAATTTCCTACCTATCAAAAAATACCTTAGCCTTTTCACAACATATAACAGGGCTAAAATGTTTTGTCTAATTGGGAATAATTCTGCTCTGCAGAAGATAATTTCTTGCTAGCAAAAAGGCTGTTTTTTGCATAGCATCTATTTCTTGTAAAAAAAAAAATCCCAACCACACTAGAGAAGCATATACTTCTAGTCTTAAAGGGGCGTTGCCAGTAAAATTAGTAAGCAGAGGCTCTCATAATAATCCTAAATGCACGATCCTCTCTTGATGACTACCTAAATCAATAATAATAATAATAATAATAAGAATAAGAATAATAAGAATAATAATGATAATAATAATAATAGTAATAGTAATAATAATAATAATAATAATAATAATAATTTGTTATTTACAAGAAGGTACAGTGGATTCGTGAGATAACATAATATATGTATTTTTACATTCATGCAAAGTCACTAATAAGCATAGCGTTTCATACAGGTCCTCAATCTAACATAAAAGTTAGTTGAAAATGTACTTTGTAGCAAGATTTTACATAGGAAGTAAAATGCAACAGCCAAACCAATGCTAGAATTCAATATTAGGGAAGTTGGTAGTGAAGTATACAGTGTGAGTTTAAAGCACAAGGTAGGAAACTATGCGGATGAAATTAGATACTTTTTGGTTTTGCTTTTGAATAAAGCATATGTTAGACAATTATTTAATTCTTTAGGGAGTGAGTTCCATAGACTGAGTCCTTTTACTTGCATGGAATGTTTGCACATAATTAGTTTGACTCTGGGGATATAAAAGATATATTTATTTCTGGTGTGGTGCTTATGGGTACTATTACACATATCAAGGAAAAGTTTCAGATCATGATTAGCATTTAGGAACAAGATTTTGTACATGTAGATAGCACATGAGAATGTGTGGAGTAAGTGTATGCTTAGCATGTTAAGGGACTTAAACAGAGAGGCTGTGTGTTGTCTGAAGATAGAGTTTGTTATAGTCCTGATAACAGATTTTTGCTGGGTGATGATGGGCTTGAGGTAATTTGTAGTGGTTGAACCCCATGCACAGACACCGTATGTAAGATAGGGATAGATTAGCACATAGTATAATGAAAGTAGAACAGATTGGGGAACATAATTCCTAAATGCTTTATTATATGTTAGATTAAGATCTGGGGCCAGATTCACGAAGCATCTTACGAATGTTTTTCTTCTTAGCGCCTACGTAGCGGCTACGTCGGTATTCAGATAGACATATTAAGAAGGAAAATCATCGTAAGTACGCTCCGTCGGCTAAGGTTGCCCTCATCCACTCGTAATCTTACGTAAACTTGATATAACTCAAATTTTCTCTACTACAAAACACGGAGGATTGATTTTATTATAAACAAACACTAGCTGGAGAGTTTCATCAAGGAGTAGTCCTTCGTGTTAACTTTATATGCATTCTATGCTTGAAACTTGTAGTAAATATGTCTTTTATGATATTAGAATTAGTTTTAAAATAGCAAGATATTATACCAGTAGTATTAAGTAAATAAATACTGGTGAGCGAGAAACATAAGAAGTGATGAACCTGGGCTGATGGGAGCATTTACTACCACCAAATGCACCTGTTCACCTAGCAATAGTTATAGATAAAGGTGTACATATCCAATTTTACTTTATTTTGTTTGGTTTTATTTTGAAATTAAATCTGGGTTAAACATAAAATAAAAATATGCGGCACAAATGATGTTAGGTTAGGGTAAAAACTTCAAAAACTTTACTCATTGAATACTTGAACCTATAATTATGACTATATGGACTATTAAAAAAGCGACGGGGGAAGTAGGGGGCCAAGACCTCTTCTTGTTGCAAAATTTGGGTGTGTGTGTGTAACTACTAATTATCAAAAGAAGACACCAAGCTGGGAAGGCTATATAGCAGTAAAGCAGTGAGGTGAGGCAGCTACTTATTTGAGGAATGCTTATTTTATTTTATTTACCTTATAAGCTGAGGCAGCTTATTTTATTTTATTGACCTTATAAGCTGAGGCAGCTTATTTTATTTGAGGAATGCTCAGCTAATTCATCTACATTTAGCATGAAACAATTTCCTGTTACACAATTTGGCTGTGTACTCACCTAGTTGTGTTTGCGGAAGCTGAGCTCTGGCTCTTTGGTCCCGCCTCTCAACCGTCAATCAACAGGTGTACAGATTCCTGAGCCTATTGGGCTCAATCATATCTACACTTGAAACTGTTTATGGAGTCAGCCTCCACCACATCACTTCCTAATGCATTCCATTTGTCAACCACTCTGACACTAAAAAAGTTCTTTCTAATATCTCTGTGGCTCATTTGGGCGCTCAGTTTCCACCTGTGTCCCCTTGTGTGTGTGCCCCTTGTGTTAAATAGCCTGTCTTTATCTACCCTATCAATTCCCTTCAAATTCTTGAATGTGGTGATCATGTCCCATCTAACTCTTCTGTCTTCCAGCGAAGTGAGGTTTAATTCCCATAGTCTCTCCTCGTATCTCATACCTCTCAGCTCGGGTACTAGTCTGGTGGCAAACCTTTGAACCTTTTCCAGTTTAGTCTTATCCTTGACTAGATATGGACTCCATGCTGGGGCTGCATACTCCAGGATTGGCCTGACATATGTGGTATACAAAGTTCTGAATGATTCTTTACACAAGTTTCTGAATGCCGTCCGTATGTTGGCCAGCCTGGCATATGCCGCTGATGTTATCCTCTTCATATGGGCTGCAGGAGACAGGTCTGGCGTGACATCAACTCCCAAGTCTTTTTCTTTCTCTTACTCCTGAAGAATTTCCTCTCCTAGATGATACCTTGTATCTGGCCTCCTGCTCCCTACACCTATCTTCACTACATTACATTTGGTTGGGTTAAACTCTAACAACCATTTGTTCAACCATTCCTTCAGTTTGTCTAGGTCTTCTTGAAGCCTCAAACAGTCCTCTTCTGTCTTAATCCTTCTCATAATTTTGGCATCGTCCGCAAACATTGAGAGAAATGAATCTATACCCTCTGGGAGATCATTTACATATATCAGGAACAAGATAGGACCGAGTACAGAGCCCTGTGGGACTCCACTGGTGACTTCACGCCAATCGGAGATCTCACCCCTCACCATAACTCTCTGCTTCCTATTGCTTAGGTACTCCCTTATCCACTGGAGCACCTTACCAGCTACACCTGCCTGTCTCTCCAGCTTATGTACCAGCTTCTTATGCGGTACTGTGTCAAAGGCTTTCCGACAATCCAAGAAAATGCAGTCCCCCCAGCCCTCTCTTTCTTGCTTAATCTTTGTCACCTGGTCGTAGAATTTTATTAATCCAGTCAGGCAAGATTTACCCTCCCTGAATCCATGTTGGCGATTTGTCACGAAGCCCTTTTTCTCCAGATGTGCCACCAGATTTTTTCTCACGATCTTCTCCATCATCTTGCATGGTATACAAGTCAAGGACACTGGCCTGTAGTTCAGTGCTTCTTGCCTGTCACCCTTTTTGTATATTGGGACCACATTTGCCGTCTTCCATATTTCTGGTAGGTCTCCCGTCTCCAGTGATCTACTATACACTATAGAGAGTGACAAGCAAAGTGCCTCTGCACACTCTTTCAGTACCCATGGTGAGATCCTGTCTGGACCAACAGCCTTTCTAACATCCAGATCCAGCAAGTGTCTCCTGACATCCTCTCTCGTAATTTCGGACTCTTCCAAGGCCACCTGGATTACTTCCCTTTCTCCTAGCACAGTGACCTCACCTTGTTCTGTTGTGAAGACGTCCTGAAACCTCTTGTTGAGTTCATCACACACCTCTTTGTCATTCTCTGTATACCTGTCCTCGCCTGTTCTAAATTTCACTACCTTTTCTTTCACTGTTGTTTTCCTTCTGATGTGACTGTGGAGTAGCTTTGGTTCGGTCTTGGCTTTATTTGCTATATCATTTTCATAACTTTTCTCTGCTTCTCTTCTCACCTCTTCTCTGGTATCTCTCTCTGCTTTCTGGTGTTCTGTTATTCTGGAAGTTCCTCCATGCCCTTTGTTCAGTTTCTTTGCTTCCATACATGCCATATTATACCATGGATTCTTCTTTTGCTTCTCGGATTTTTCCTTTTGGGCCGGGATGTATCTGCTTACTGCCTCGTGACACTTTTGGGTGACATAGTCCATCATATCTTGTACAGACTTAGCTCTAAGGTCTATGTCCCAAGGTATTTCCCATAGGAAGCTTCTCATCTCCTCATAATTTCCCTTTCGGTATGCCAGCCTTTTGTTTCTTAGTTCTTTTTCGGGGGGATAATTCCTAGCTCTACCAGGTACTCAAAGTTCAATACATTGTGATCACTCATTCCCAAGGGTGCTACCATCTTGACTTCCCTTATATCCCACTCATTTAGGGTAAATATCAGATCAATTATTGCTGGTTCATCTTCTCCTCTCATTCTTGTTGGTTCGTTGATGTGCTGGCTTAGAAAGTTTCTTGTTGCCACGTCCAGCAGCTTAGCTCTCCTTGTTTCTGGTCCTCCATGCGGGTCTCTGTTCTCCCAATCTATCTTCCCATGGTTGAAGTCTCAACCGTGTGTAACAATCAGTAAGTAATTATTAAAAATAGGCGCCAAGCTGGGAAGGCTATGTTTATTTTATTTATTTATTTATGCATATACAAGAATGTACATAAGGAATGTGAGGATACAAATATGGTAATTACAGTCTTGTAAAGCCACTAGCACGTGCAGCGTTTCGGGCAGGTCCTTAATCTAAGAAAATTTTAAGGAGGTAAATACTTGCAAAATTTATAGACAAAAAATGATAACAGTTACATGAAATGAAAAAAAGAAGATGAGAGAAAATTGTAGGTACAGTATATTAAAGCACATAGGTAGCTAAGAATGATTGCAATGACAGCTTGAATGGTAGTTGACAAAAATTGGTAGGCACAATACAGCAGAAACAATATAAGATTGATTGCAATGACAGCTTGAATGGTAGTTGACAAAAATTGGTAGTCACAATACAGCATATGGCTAGCACATAAAAGAAGACAGCAATGAACACAATGATAAGGTTGTTTGATTTTACATAAAAATTAGGAGATTGGGTAACACTAGGTGTAGGAAACTAAGAAGATGAAGTTAGGTACTTTTTGGTTTTGCTTTTAAATAAGGCAAAAGTTTTACAGTTTTTCAATTCACTAGGGAGTGAGTTCCATAGACTCGGTCCCTTAATTTGCATAGAGTGTTTACACGATTAAGTTTGACCCTGGGGATATCAAAGAGATATTTATTTCTGGTGTGGTGATAATGGGTCCTATTACATCTGT